AAATAACAATAGAACAATAATGAGATTACCATTAATAATGCAAATAAAAAGCATAAATAACAATAAGGCAGTGATAAAGTGGAAGAAATTTGTCATATTCTTAGCTTTGTTTGGTAGCAGCAAAGAAAGAGGAATTATGTGGGTGGTGCTGATTATTATACTGGGACTTTGGTATGGGAGCGGCCTATCACTATGGTTACTGTTTTTTCTTACTGTTTGTATTCTTTGCTGCTATTGGTGGACAGTAAAGAAAGGGTTAAGCAATATGAGCCTCCGTGTCTTGACATAAAATTGGCTAACACTCTCAGCTTAAAACTTTCAGCTATCACAGCTTCCATTGCTGGTATGGATCCGTATGGCTAAAAGGAGTGTTTAATCTATTCCTTGGTCATATCTCCACTAATGGCTGGGCTGTGAATGGCCAGAGACCTCTCTTTAATGTTAAACTATGTGAAAATACGTACAGCGCCAGGGGATAGTGAGATGAAGTAATTATAGTGCCTACAGTGTCCCTTTAATATACATTTAAAAGAAAAGAAAACCTCACATGAGAAAAAGGTTAACACAAGTTATGGGTAATTTTCAAAGTTCTATTCAAAAGTGTAATTTACACCTTTATTAATCCTAAACATATATAAAATGGTGCAAACTGTGATATATTTGTGTACCTCTATCCAGCTGAAAGAGTATTTGCCAGTGTAAAACCGCATTCTCCAAATTCAAAAGAAGGCTCTCCTCCAGATCTGATGACGGCAACAGAGAAACGCATTGATGAATATTGGATTAAAGCAAAGCAAATGCTTCACAAAATTGAATCTTTACAAAGACTTCATAGTAAGGCAAGTTGATACAAAGGCATTTTGATAAAACAAAAAAAGGTAAATGTAATGTAATTTTCATGCATTAGATAAGCCGGATGATGTGAAATTGACATGGGGTACATTTTATATTCAGAGAATTTTTGCTTTTGTGTAATAATATTTAAAGAAACACTCCAAGTACCATAACCACTACACACCACTAGTGTTATGGTGCCAGGGTGCAGGACCAGCTCAGTAGCTTAGCGCTGTAAGCCAATTATTGTGGCCCTGCACTGCCAGACTTGGCTCAGTAGACACACTTGGAGGGCTCAAAGATGGGCTGTAGTGGTTTTGGTGCTTGCTGTGTTCCTGTAAAGTGGACCTGTCTTCACAGTAAACAGTACTTCACATATTTAGTCATTTTATTTAGTTAAAAGGAAAAAAAGACAATTTGCTTAAATCTCCAGTATTACATGCTGTAGCTGTAAATGTATGTGATACAATTATAGCTACAATGTATCAAATGCTAGGCTGATTGTTTGGGGGTTGTTGTTGTTGTTGTTGTTGTTTTTTCTGACAACACATATGTGGTAGATGAATTGTACATGTTTCTCCAAAATGGCATTGACATTCTTTACATATTTGTTTCATACATTGATACAAATCGTAAATGTCAAGTCTTTTACATAGTATCTCTTGATCCAAACAAAAAAAGTAAATGAATACATCAAGAATCCACACTGAAATTAAAAAATATTTCTAGTGATGCAAAAGGTGAATATGCTGTGTAATCTTTCAATACTAAAAGGTTTGACTTGTTGGGAATTCAAAGTTAAACTTAAAAACTTGCATTGTGCGATGTATTTTAATTTTTTGATTCTCTGAAAAATGTTCAGTGTTTTGGAAGATGATTTTGCATAGTGAACACTAGCTATAATTGTTAGTTGTATTGGTCCATTATTAAAGGAAAGTGTATTCAAGTGACAACTTGTAAGGTGCCTGTATATGCTATCCTGGAGAGTGTCCCTTTTAAGTCCTCTATCCTCCATTCTGTACACGTTAAGAGCTGTGCTGTCAGAGAAAATAACTTCCTATTACCTTGAATAAAGATGAAAGATTAACCTGTAAATACACCATTCCTATTGGTATGCTAGGGTTTATATAGCGTTCCAAAAAGGATAAATTGCCATTAACCCTACTTCTCTTCTTGACCTACATTTAGATCAACAGTTAAATTTGATGCCTCCAGGTTGCCTTAAAGTAGTGAGAGCTATAGCTAAACAAGGAGCAAGCTACTAAAATATTAGAGATTGCTAAACAAGACAATTGCTTAGCAAAAAGTTGAATTGCATCTTTATTTATTTTTGACAATCTTTATTTTGAGTTTTTCAAACAATAGGTCGAGAGCATAATTTCAGAGAAGAGTACAGTGTAGCTTAGTGCAAGTTTCTGTGATATGAATTTTGTAAACCATAGTTAGATAACATCAGCTTAGAAATCATTACACGGGGAAACATAGAGCGAAAACCGGAGCTGTAATGAACTGCAATGTTGGCAACTTACTATACTATATGTCCAACTCCCTACATGCTCCATCGCCCAATGGGCCCCGACAAAAGTTATTGGAAAAACCATTGAATGTCGGGACGCCCAAGCGCTTCATTTATTCCTTTATTCCTTTACTTGTTTCCCTCTCCCCCTTATTCATTTGTTGATGGAGGTTATGTGAACACCGTTTGTACATTTCAAAGTACGTAGCTACTGATACTTAGTAGCAGCGCTCAATTTTACGCTTAACTCTGTCAATTCGTGTTAATCCACTGGGTGGGTAATTGTCTACCTCTCACTTGGCTCTACTACGTGCCATTTTGCAGGTGATACCCTTCAGCAATGTGCGTCTGCCTGGTTAAGCATACTATCAATAATTTTGCTGTCTGGGAGTAGGAGATCCTGACCTTGCGTAATTATATATCGGACGCACATTCATAAGTGCAATCACCTCAGGGTTTGTCGTCAACAGGTAACTGATACCCAGGCTCTGATAACATAGTCGAGGGCGTCAACCTTTCTGGCCAATTGTGCACCTATTTCTAAAACAGCCGGCTGTGCATGAGTCCCAACCCTTAGTTGCCTAGAAGAGTCTGCTGTCTCGGGCCAGCCACGGACCCTATACGGGTCAAGTCTGTCAGCTATATGGCGTCGGGCAACAGGACCCGTTATGCCTCTTGTTCTTAGCCTGTGAGCCCAAGGCAATGGGCTGGGTGGTTTGGTCGGCTACTCTGAGTTCAGCAGGGGCTCAGTATAGGAGCCCTGGTAGCTACCAGGGTATATTGTGTATGTAGGGCGTGAGGCAGGCATAGGGTGAAGGGAGGGGCAAGGCAAGGGGGATCTAAGAGCAAGCAGGGTTGGGGAAAATGAGAGAGTGGGGGATAGTGAAGAGGAGGGAGAAGAGCAGAAGTAAAGTGGAGAGAAAAGACTAGGGGGGGGGAGAGAGGAAGGGACAGGGTGCCAGTTTTCTTGATATTCCCCCACGGGTGGGAGTTGCGTCCCCCGGAACCTCCCCAGGACGTTGAGGCATGTGTGCCTGCGCCCCTGTGTCATGTCCATATGGCCTGGGAGCGGCATCTGCCCCCCTCACCCCCAGGTTGTAGGTGTGGGTTCGCACTCCTAGTTCGGCCTTCAAGATACAAAGTCAATCCACGGGTAGAAATGTCGCGAACCGTTCGCGAACTTCCCGCGAACGGCTCGCCACGGTTCGTGGCGAGCTCCGGTCAGCTGACACATCCCGGCCAATCTCCAGCAGACCCTCCCTCCCAGACCCTCCCACCTCCTGGACAGCATCCATGTTGAGCCTTCAACATGGATGCTGTCCAGGAGGTGGGAGGGTCTGGGAGAGAGGGTCTGCTGGAGATTGGCCGGGATGTGTCAGCTGACCGGAGCTCGCCGCGAACGGTTCGTGGCGAACCGCGGCGAGCCGTTCGCGACATCTCTATCCACGGGGTCCATCTCTGCAGGCAGGGAGGGTCTGCTGGAGATTGGCCGGGATGTGTCAGCTGACTGGAGCTCGCCACGAACGGTTTGTGGCGAACCGTGGCGAGCCGTTCGCGAATGGTTCGCGACATCTCTATCCACGGGGTCCATCTCTGCAGGCAGTGGTCCACGGTTCCCCACAGAGAGGTTGTGAGCATTTCCATCCCATGGATCTCCTCAACCTTGTCCATCAATTTTTGGAGGGTGGGCACCTGTGAGGTCTGCTTTTTAGCTGGAATGAGCAGTTTGGCTGCATTTAGTAGGTGTTTGGTTAAAGATTTTTTTGTACCTTGAGAGGGGCATTGCGGTATGATGAAGGAGCATCTGAAGCAGTTGGAGTAGGAGATCTGTATCCAGTATTTTACAATTGCATCTTTTGATATTTCTTCCAGCAGTGCCTATTGTGTACATCCCACAAAGAAACAACTGATGATATATAATGGGAAGTCACTTTCATAACTAATTTCCAGAGTTTTCTAGGTTCCCTTTATTTTTATTTTCTGAGAAAAGAACACATTGGGTATTTGTCTTGGCAAAAGTAGTGTCCTGCTTGTTTTAAGGACAAAGTGAGAATCATTCACTACTGACTGAGAAACCATGACAGATTTAGAGCTGCTTTACCTTAAAGATAAACTAAAGATTGACCAATCCAGCATTTAAAACATAAAAATATAATTCTATTATTTATGACTACTTTTTTACATAAAAATTTAGACCAAATTGGTATAGCTAATTCAGATGTGTTACTTCCACAATAGCAATATGCTGAGTGAGAGGCCAGACTATGGGTACCTAATGGACTTTTCGTTTGTGTCAAACTTCTTAAAAACAATTTGACACAAACCAGGAGGATAACACCAGGGGCATGGTGCTACCATCACCATCACAGTGATCTGAAATGTTAAGTGTAAGAACCAGATTTAGACGTGCTCACAGGAGCATCAGACTTGAACTGTCAAGCATTTCAGCTTGAAAAAGATCTTGACAGCTGTGTTAAATTAGTGGTCAAGCCAGGATGCATATAATTCTACATTATTAGAAATATATTTTGAGTGATCAACATGTATGTGTAAAAGAGAGTATAATCGCCCCACCAATAAGAATTAAAACCATTCTTAAAGTGTAGTGAACTTTTATTTTTACTTTCAGGACATCAGTAGTTTTCATGAAATGGATGAAAGTAATGCCCTTTGTGACCTCGAAAGCATTTCACAGCGACCACGTGTTGTGAGAGTGGAGTCGTCGCTCACTGGAACTCTGGGACAACCTTCTCTTACAAAGCCCTGGAACAGAACAGAAGATTTTCTAGTTACAACCTGTCCCTGTGGAGAATTAGAGAAACAAAGCCATATTGCCACCATATGCCCACACAGTAAAGAGCAAGGACCATTTGTTAAAGAAGACAAAGGTGTTCATGTCAACAGACAAACTTTGCCAGTGGTATGTTAACATGAGTATGTAATGGAGCCAAATTAGTTTATACAATATTCCATTTGTTCCCTTTATTTTGTTAACATTATACCATTCAAAACATGGTGCTCTCTTTCTTGTTAATCATGATATTGCACTCTTGTTTAATGGAAAAAGCAGCTCATAGTTTTAGAAGTTCCAAATTACGTTTCAGGGTTCTACTGATAAGACCAAGACCAATCTGGGTGTTTGAGAACTGTTGTTGGAAATGCTAATTTCTATTACACCAACTACACGTAGAGCTTCAAATATGAAACTACATGTGATCAAAAGCCAATTGCTTGAAATGGTTTAGAGGTGTTGATCCTTCCATTAATATGCTGTGACTACCATCCCTCTAAAATAACTTTATTTTTTTTATTTAATTTTTTTTTTTTTTTTTATATTTTTTCTTCTATCAGGATAAAGTAAAAAGGCAGATCTTTTCTAACACTGTCATGCTGAGAAAACCTGCTGCATCAACTTTAGATCACTCAGGTAAAATTGACAGAGACAGCCAAGCCGCTCCACGAGAGAATAACACAAATTTGTCCTGCGGAAATCAAGGCTGCAAATCAGACGCTTCCTTAAATAAACCTCCTTTGAGGGATGCAGTCACACACAATACGCCACATCATGTGAAGAAGAAACATGAGCGCTTCCCTCAGTTATCTAGTGAACCACTAGGGAAAATAAAGCAAAATCACTCGAGAGCTGTTTCTGACGTGGATACCTTTGTCCCTGTTTCAAGGTATGTCATGCAGAAGACTAATAAAAACAAATGTCTGTAAATTTGCTTTTATTTCTGGCTATAAGTGAACATTGTAAAATCTAGGGCAATTTCTAGTATCTTTGAGATTTGATTTGCAGATCTCCTCCAACCAACTGAAGTACCTGGGTATAAAACTGATTTTGGATCCACTAAACCGTATGAGACTAATTACCTCCCACTGTTTCGAAAGTTGCATGAGGATCTGAGAACCTAAGGCATGCTAACTCTATAGAGCACATCCATTCTGGTAAAATGACCCTCCCCACACTGCTTTATTTTTCCAGGTCTTCCTAGTGCCGATGGCATGTGCTGACTTAAAATCCCACAATTTGCTATAAACTCTTTCATCTGGAGCGGAAAGTCTCCCAGAGTTGCTCTTTCATCCTAGGTCTCTTGTTGGCCTGGGCCTTCTCTTCCTTGAACTACACTATTATGCTGCTAGGCTAGCCCACGTTTATGCCTGGCATTCCCCCATTGGAGTGAGGCACTGGGTACACTTACAATCTGACTTAGTAGGACAATACTTCCCATAGTTATTGGTCTGGCTACCCAAGTCACTCAGGGCTTTTTGGCTTTTTCACGTATTTAATGCCCCCCAACCGTACATGACATAGCCTTGTGGGACAGATTAGCGCTCTCATCTCATGTCTCCTTTCCCTCCCATGTCTCTGAAATCTCTGATCCTGCACAACATGGCTTTTCTCCTGGGTTTGGATCCCTCATTATTTAGGAGGTTGGAGTGAGTGAGGATTTAGAGATACTGTGATTTAATGGTGGAACCACTGTATCCGTTGACTCGCTCCGAAGATGAGCCCTTCTTACAACGGCAGTTGGAGCTCCGTTGCCTTATGACTCTGCCTGGAAGAGGAATATGGGTGGTGTGATATATAGAAAGTTATAGCCTAGGTGTCTGTCTGTGTCGTACATCAAGAACATATAAGATGGTATATAAGATGGTAACATGAGATGGTATACTTTCTATAATTAAATGTATGTTTATAGTATGCATATGCATTCCCAAAGTAATATGCATTTTGTTAAAAAAAAAAAATTACAAATTAGGATTCAACTTATTAAAGTTGCCCATGAAAGGGGCAAAATGTTCCATTTGTCAGACTTTTTTTTTCACTACACTTTTTTTTACATTATGAATAAATGTGTAAATTTTAATGCTGCACTTCTTACTTGTTTTGTAGGGTAAACACATTTAAACATTTAGCTGCAATCACAAAAGAAGGAAAAGAAAACGTATGTGTAGGTAAAGTGAGAATTAATATTTATTCGGATTTAAACTAAACTTCTGCAAAAAATATTCCGCCCACAAATGATCTATTCATCCCAGTGAAAATCCTTTTAATGCATACCCAAATGAATTGATTTAGGAGATAATGTATTCTTCAGGTGGATTGATTTCAGTGTGGATTAAAATGGATTTTGAGTTGGATGAATCTATTCGTTTCTAGACTAATGAAATTTATGTTAAATCTAATTTTAACCTTATCTACAGTAATGCTTTATTATGTAAGATTATTATTATTGTTATTGGCATTTATAAAGCGCTTTACAATATTATAAATGGGGCTATTTAACAATAAATTAGACGATTACAAAATGTTACAGGAACAATAAGTTAACAAGGACTCTGCTCAAACGAGTTTACACTCTAGAGGTCTGTCCATATACTTGAGCCTGCAAATTGAATTGACTTACCAGTAGTATAAAGAAATTGCTTTACAGAATACATGTTGAATTGAATCCAGGGCTTTTCTTCTTGATTTTGTTTTGTTCTTTTTGTTTGTATTTTTTTTTTAGATCCCATGGTTTTATGTTCAGGCATAATCAACAAAGAGATTTATAGCATTTTAGGAAGCAAGGTCACTAAAAATGACTCAAGGTGTTCAGGTAAACTGAAGTGTAAAACATGACAAATGGCTATCAAATATATATATAATTAGTTTTAATAAAGTTCTTGATGAAATTCAGACTTCCTAGGTGAGTAAGACTGTTTGTTATGGAACATGAACCCTTATTGTGGTGGTATGGGAGGCAGAACCAGGTTTATCTGGATTCATGCAGAGATATATCTAGACTGGTTAAGACCTGATAACTCAATAGGTACGACGATTGAGTCCACTGTTTTTTTTTTTTTTTTTTGACAATCTTTATTTTCAAATTTTATCATTTTTTCAAGGAAAGATGTAGTAACGGTATAACGTCAATTTTAACATCAGTGTTCTGAATAGCTTAACAACATTCGTCACCATTGTTTTAACATTCTCAAAACAGTTTTCTCAGACAGTATTTCTATAGTTTCCATCACATGCTTTAGATAGGATTATTTAAGGTCAAGTTTCTAGACTCGCATCCCCACTAGCCTACAATGCGCAGTTTATTGCACCTATGGTGTGCGCTTTACGTGTAGGGTATGAATCGGTGTCTAGTCTGGGAGCTGTGGGGGTTATGTTTTCTGACGTGCTACATTTCTCATTTCACGTTTCGTACCAGTAGTGTCAGGAGCCTTTTTGTCGCTTGACATGTATATATATATATTGTTGGGCATGGTATAGGGTCACGCTAGCGAGAAAAGATATTTTTAGTGCCTTAACTCCTCCCCAGACTACTCAGCACTTATTAACATTCAAGGCCATCTTGTCGCCTGGTTGAGAGCAAAGTGTGATGGTTTTGGTTAAGTTCCCCACTATTGTGGGTTGGCAGTTGCTAGTGCATATTTTTGTATGCCTATCGGTATAGTTTGTCATATGGGAGGATACTCTGGGTATCGGTCTAGGAGGCCAGGAGGGGATATTTTCATGCCGGTATCAGCTCTAGGTTGGGTCTCGGTTTCCTGTGTGTTTTACACCTGTGATTACAGTGGGTGTGCGTATTGATAAGCCCCATTTACGAGCTAGTCAGAGTCGGTCGTTGGGGTTCTGTCTAATGTCCAGTCTCGGGAAAGGGTCAGGAGGCAGGGGACCTTGGAGGGAGGGGTAGCCGGGTGGCTTAGCTCTGTATGAGTCAGTCAACTGCGGGCCTCTGGGGGGCCGTGTTTGGGTTTGCTAATCTGTTGGCTAGGTATGTTTCCCAAGGGTACCAGGTCAGTGCACATTGCTCCTGTCTACCGTGTAGGTCTGCAGTTAAGGACTCCATTGAGTGGATTTCTTCCACCCTTGTCACCCATTGCTGGAGGGTAGGCGCCCCCCTCTGTTTCCACATCACTGGGATAAGGGCCTTTGCCGCGTTGAGTAGTGGCAGCAAGAGGGATTTCTTATATGTCTTAACGGGTGTGGGGGTGTGGTGTAATAGCATCGTTAGGGGTTCTAGGGTTAGCTCCGCACCTGTGATTTTGTTTATCTCTACCCTGATCCTCTCCCAGAATGTGGTGATCTCGGGGCACTGCCACCAGATGTGGAAGTACGTGCCGGTATGCAAGCCGCATCTCCAGCAGGTGTCCGGGGCACCTACGTTCATGCGATTGAGTACGTCAGGGGTTCTGTACCAGCGTGTTAAAATTTTGTAGTTCAGCTCCTGGTACTTGGAGCTGATAGAGCATTTGTGTGTGAGAGTGTAAATCTTGTCCCAGTCTTGCACAGTAAGGACTTCCCCCGAGTCTCTCTCCCAATGATCTTTAAATTTGAGCACCACATCTTCGTTAGTTTGGGTCTTGAGTATGGTATGTATAGTGGAGATACCTCTGTGTACGTGTGTTCGGTGTACGCACAGGTGTTCAAAGCTGGTGAGGGGTCTAGTCAGGTGTCCTCGACCATGTAAGGACATGAAGTACGTCTTAACTTGGTGGTATCTGAATTGTTCGAGTATCGTCGGTGGTCTATCTGGGCAGAGGTTTCTGAGTGGTTTAAGTCCCTGAGTGTCGAGCCATTGGTGCAGGTACATCCAGTCTGCCTGCTGGAGGCCGGCTAGGTCTTGCGGGGTTAGAGCATCGGCCAGGTCTGGGTTATGTGTGATGGGTGTCAAGGGGCTAGGAGAACTTGTGAGTTGCAGTCGGTAGCGTATAGCTATCCACACTCGGAGCGTTGCGTCAATTAGTGGGTTCTCGGTGTGCAGGTCAGTGTATGTGGCTGTATGTAGCCAAAGCCTAGAGGGTATTTTTCTATCGGTTTGTTCTAGCTCAATGGTCACCCATTGTTTTGATGGGTGTTGTGCGTGCCAGTCCGTCAGTCTGTGCAGGTGAGCGGCGCGGTAATATGTCTCTATGGAGGGCAGTCCTGTGCCCCCCATCAGTTTTGGTAGTTCCAGGGTTGATTTTTTTATTCGGGTTGGGCGAGAGTTCCAGACGAACCTGCGGATGGCAGTCGTCATAGAGTTAAAAAAGGCTCTGGGGAGAGTAATTGGCACTGTTTGGAGTAGGTAGAGTATCCTGGGTAACACGTTCATTTTAATCGCATTGATACGTCCGAACCAGGAGATGTAATATGGGGTCCATTTCTTAAGGTCCGTTTGAAGTGAGAGTAGGAGGGGGAGATAGTTATGGCGGTATAATTGGGACGGGTCTTTGGTCAGCCATATGCCCAAATATTTTAATTTAGTTTCGCACCATTTAAACTTGTATTGGGTGTGAAGGTGTGTTGGGGGGCCTGTAGGGGGTGGGAGGTGGAGAGCCTCGGACTTATCCGTATTAAGTTTAAGATTAGAGAGTGCCCCAAACTCTCGGAAGGATGCTAGGAGGTTGGGCAGCGAGATCAACGGCTGTGTAAGAAAGAACAGCATATCGTCTGCATATGCGGCTACCCGGTATTCGTGACGACCAAGGTCAAATCCAGAGATTCCCCCATTCCGTCTGACCGCCCCCAGAAATGATTCCAGGGAGAGGGCAAACAGGAGGGGGGAGAGCGGGCATCCCTGGCGGGTGCCATTCCTGATAGGGAAAGGGGCTGAGAGTGCCCCGTTAATGCGGATCCTCGCAGTGGGGCACGTGTACAGTGAGAGCACCCAGGCCAGCATGTTGGGGCCGAATCCCATGTGTGTAAGGGTACTCCTCAGATACGCCCAGCTCACCCTGTC